TATCTGAAAAACAATTTTTTGTTATCCTTAACTTGGGATGCCATCCTCAGCTCCATGGTAGCTTTGGCCTTTCTAACTGCCTCCCTACAACTGTGAGCTGAAGAGGCATACTCGTCTTCAGTAATTTCTCCCTGTTTCCACTGCTTATATGCCCCCTTTTTGCCCTTAGGCTGCTCTGGACTTCTCTGGTCAGCCAAGGAAGGCTCTTGGCCCCTTTTCCCCCGCATCAGGATCATCTCCCTCTGTGCCCGAAGGATCGCTTCCTTAAGGCACAGCCACCCTTCCTGGGCTCCCATCTCACCAAATCTCTTACTCTGCAGTGCGTCATTGACTAAACACCTGAGCTCGCTGAAGTCAGCCTTCCTAAAGTCTAGCACTTCCACCCTACTAGTTACCTTTCCCACGCTACGCCTTATGGTGAATTCTATTATTTGGTGGTCACTGTCCCCCAGGTGACCACTGATCTGTAGGTCCCCTACCATGTCATTCACCCGTTGCCAGTACCAAGTCCAGTAAGGCATTCCCCCTAGTGGGACCATGTACCTCATGCGTCAGGTGGAGGTCCTGCACACAGGATAGGAACCTGCATGAACGGTGGGAATTTGCTGTCTGCGTCTCCCAGCAGATGTCAGGGGAATTTAGGTCCCCCATGTCTACCCTTCCCTAGTCTTTATGGTCTCCGAGAGCTGCTTCAAGAGTTCCAAATCTAGTTCTTCCCCTTGGTGTGGGGGTCTGTAGCAGACCCCTACAACCAAATCCCTTTCCCCTTGACCTCCATGTATCCTAACCCACAATCCTTCTACTTTCTTCTCCTCCAATTCCATTTTGAGAAGGGTCGATGTATAACGCTCCTTGACATTAGAGCGCAACCCCACCCTCTCTCCTCCCCACTCTATCCTTTCTGTACAGCTTATAGCCCTCAGTGTGTACCGACCGCCCAGTCGTGGGTAGAGTCCCACCAGGTTTCTGTTAACCCCACTAAGTCGTAAGTGTTCTGTGCAAGCAGGAGTGCTAGTTCATCCTGCTTGTTCCCCATGCTCCTAGCATTAGTGTATAGGCTGGCGCCTTTGTTGCCCCCCGGCTCTGATGCCCAATGGGCCCCTTATTGCTCACCTGCTTATTGCTTACCTGTGCTATACTGCTGGACGTCCCATGGATTGCAGGTTCTTGATGTTCTTCTTCTGCCTCCCTGTCCCCCATCTGAGCTAGTTTAAAGCCTGACATAGGAGATCAGCCAGAGTTGTTTTTTACATAAAAAAGAACCAGAGTTATAC